TGACTAGCTCGTTAATCAAAGATGGTTATGTTTCCTAACCATAGACATGTGTTGGCATTTGATTAACGGGATCACATCATTAGGAGAATGATGTGATTGACATGACCCATTCCATTAGCTTAGCACCCGATCATTTAGTATGTTGCTATTGCTTTCTTCAAGACTTATACATGTTCCTATGACTATGAGGTTATGCAACTCCCGTTTGCCGGAGGAACACTTTGTGTGCTACCAAACGTCACAACGTAACTGGGTGATTATAAAGGAGCTCTACAGGTGTCTCCAAAGGTACATGTTGGGTTGGCGTATTTCGAGATTAGGATTTGTCACTCCGATTGTCGGAGAGGTATCTCTGGGCCCTCTTGGTAATGCACATCACATAAGCCTTGCAACTAATGAGTTAGTTGCGAGATGATGTATTACGAAACGAGTAAAGAGACTTGCCGGTAACGAGATTAAACTAGGTATTGAGATACCGACATTCGAATCTCGGGCAAGTAACATACCGATGACAAAGGGAACAACGTATGTTGTTATGCGGTCTGACCGATAAAGATCTTCGTAGAATATGTAGGAGCCAATATGATCATCCAGGTTCCGCTATTGGTTATTGACCGGAGACGTGTCTCGGTCATGTCTACATTGTTTTCGAACCCGTAGGGTCCGCACGCTTAAGGTTTCGATGACAGTTATATTATGAGTTTATGAGTTTTGATGTACCGAAGGAGTTCGGAGTCCCGGATAAGATCAGGGACATGACGAGGAGTCTCGAAATGGTCGAGACGTAAAGATCGATATATTGGACGACTATATTCGGACATCAGAAAGGTTCCAAGTGGTTCGGGTATTTTTCGGAGTACCGGGGAGTTACGGGAATACGGGGGAAGAAGTATATGGGCCTTATTGGGCTTTAGGGGAGAGGGAGAGGCAGGCCGCGCGCCCCCCCATTGACTAGTCCGAATTGGACTAGGGGGAGGGACGGCGCCCCCTCCTTCCTTCTCTTCCCTCTTCCCCTTCCTTGTCTCCTACTCCTACTACTTGGAAGGACTCCTAGTTGGACTAGGAAAGGGGGAATCCTACTCCCGGTGGGAGTAGGACTCCCCTAGGGCGCGCCATAGAGAGGGCCGACCCTCCCCTCCTCCACTCCTTTATATACGGGGGCAGGGGACACCCCATAGACACACAAGTTGATCTTTGTGATCGTTCTCTTAGCCGTGTGCGGTGCCCCCCTCCACCATACTCCTCGATAATATTGTAGCGGTGCTTAGGCGAAGCCCTGCGACGGTAGAACATCAAGATCGTCACCACGCCGTCGTGCTGACGGAACTCTTCCCCGACACTTTGCTGGATCGGAGTCCGGGGATCGTCATCGAGCTGAACGTGTGCTAGAACTCGGAGGTGCCGTAGTTTCGGTGCTTGATCGGTCGGGCCGTGAAGACGTACGACTACATCAACCGCGTTGTGCTAACGCTTCCGCTTCCGGTCTACGAGGGTACGTAGACAATACTCTCCCCTCTCGTTGCTATGCATCACCATGATCTTGCGTGTGCGTAGGATTTTTTTTTTGAAATTACTACGTTCCCCAACAATTAGTGCCTATGTTAATCCATGAGCAATTTTCTAAGATCAGTCTTGCTATTTTTTTTATGAAAACCATTGGGGGCATGTGAGATCTCTTGGAGCATTTTTTGTATCATTCTTACTGTGTGAGTATTTAATCTTCTGGTCTGTTGCTTTTTAATAGATGATGGACATTTAAGGCATGCTGAGATAATTTCTCTTTGTATTGTTCTAGCCCGTGAGTGTATCTAACGTTGTAGTTTATTGCTTCTAAGTTTTTGACTGGTTGTTTTGACGATGTCTTCGACCTATGTGTCCAGATTAAATTTCAGCCCCTCACAACGCAGTTAGTATTTGCAGGATCTAAGACGACACATATCACACTTCTGCCCGTCATGCTAATTTGGGTGCTTTTTTGGAGGTGTGGGATTGGGCAGTGGTGAGCTTGGCTCTCATATCATTTTTCTCGTCTACATTTATCTTGATGTATGCAAGAATTTTTTATCTTAGTGATATCAATCTATTACTATGTCCATGCAGTTATAGCTCTGTTATTTTCCTTATCTATGTGGTTTCTTTGTACTATTTCATAGGTGAGTTAACTATCTTGCTGAAAGGGCAGTAAGTCAGTGACAGTTTCTTGCAGTTTCCTTCTCTACATTAGGAGTTTCAGTTCTGCAATCGTTTCTCTCTGTTTTCATAAAGCTGTGTATTTTCTAAATATATGATTGCTGGTTTCAGCAATATATCATGTCTCTACCACAACCCAGCATGCAAGGGCTTATCTATGTCTTTTATTTGTTGCATCATAAACATCATCTATGTTTAGTTGGCACATATTATGCTGGTACCTTCAACGACGTGGTATATCTCCCACCCCATCAGCTCTTTCCTATAAGGATCCCAAAACATGGATCAGTGGTATGCAGCTGAAGGAGTTACTCCCAGATCAGCTGTTGAAGGAAAACCATACATTATTGTTACGCATTTCACCTGTGTTCATGAATAGAAACTAAAATGTGCATATAATGTAGTCTTATAATTGTTTTCCTGCCATCTAGATTGTACCAAATATAGTAATAACCAAATATGCAATTTTGGGTAAGGTCTAAATGCTATTAGAAAATACTCCTAGAAATGGTATGATGCATACTATTTAAACTTATAAATGAAGTGGCAGATCTGCTTCATTTTCATTTATTTTCCTTCTCCAGTTCTGCCATTGTTCTGCACTTGTAGCCAGAAATTGATGATGTTACATGAAATAACCTTGAAATTTTTAGACTACCTGCTTCAATACAGAACTTCGGGTCAACGCTTGGATAGTTCTTTTATTTATGAAGGGAAAATTACAATGCATGTCAGTTTTTTTGTTGCCTGGAATTGTTTTGTTTTATGATGTGGATTTCTGTGTATTTTATCTCATCCAATATCAAACTCATATTGGTGAACATCTTATCTAAACTCGTCGTACTTCTCTTTCTTGCTTTAGGTTGGGAAGCAGTCAATGGGTGATTATCGAATGTGTCGGAACTTCCAAGCAAATGTCTCTCTGTGGCTAAAATAAATCTTATTTCCCCTCAAGTCACTAAACTGCAATGGGTAGTTGGTCGGTCGCTGTCAATTGAATGTGCGAATTGAAATGTCTTGCCGTTTTACAATTCTTGTTTTGCTTCACAATATTCTCTGTTAAATAGACCTGTTAGTATCTATGAAACTACTACGCTTGCTTTGCTTTATGAATGAACACTTGTCTCCTGCAGTTTTACCGTGTCTTATATTCGAACCACTACGCTTGTCTGCCTCTTTTTTCTTTTGCTGAATTATACATGTTGTCATGCAAAGACATTAACAAATATGAAAGCTTGATTAGTGCGCACAATTTTGCCTCTCAAGAGGCGCCACCAGGTGGCGCCCCAGCCACTAGTGTTCATCAAATTCTGCTCATGAATCACCTTATATTTTGATTAGAAGTATTTTAAGTAAATTAAAGTGGAATTCGTTCAGAAGATAAGTAAATTAAGGTGATTAATTATCATATATATGAAAGGTTAGACGAAGGGGTGGTGGGAAGAAAGGTGAAATGAGAGCGTTATGTTCTTTTTAAGTACTACTAGTAGAGATAGAGATATTCCTCTTTGAAATGAGTGAAATCAAAAAGTGAAATTAGTTTTTTTTTAAAAATTGGTGAAATATGTTATTTGAAATGAGTGAAACTTTTTTATATGAGCAAAATAATAAAGATGACTCTTTTGAAATAGTCAAAACACTGTTATGAAATAGTGGGGAAATGTAAATATCATTTATTGAAAGAGTGGAACAATGTAATATTTATGAAATTATCAAAATCAGTATTTTTCGAATGAGTGAATCGGTTACTTCAAATGAGTGTTTTTTTCGGTTTAGTAGAATCAACTTTTTAAAATGAATGAAATTATTTAGTGAAATATTTTTTAAATATATTTTTGAACACAGTACAGACGCGAGCGCTCATATACACGCGCATACACTCATCCCTATGAGCGCACACACGCACACCCTACCCCTATGAGCACCTCCGAAAGACTGAGCCGGCATATCATCTTGAAATTTATGAAGTCACCGTAGGCACCTCATCGTCGACGGGAAAGTGCCCTCCCACTGAATGCGCATCGCCGGAAATCCTGTAATAGTCCAGGAATAAACCGAGATATGATTGAACAAGTAAGTTCAAACTAGTCAAAATGGACCTAGCATCGGTCTTGTTTTAAAGATCTCATCCCCCAATTCCAACACATGTAAGCAAAGTTTCAGGAACGAAATATCGGCTCGGAAGTTAGGAGCAATATAAAAATGTCACAGCGAGAATAAAGGGCAAGTCTTTTGTTTAGAGCCTTGTGCGTTTTGTATGCATATATACATCCAGGACAATTTACATATGCCCTCGGTTGTTAGTTCCACCATGTGAAAAGCACGGAATCACGATGCTTAGAAACAAACAATCCCGACGTGCTACTCACGACGCTGAACATGAACCGCCCGAAAAACTCGCGCAAGGAATTCTCCGGAGAAAATCTCAAAAGGCTTTCGCTTGCGGCAGCTGTGCACTCCACCCCATAAAAAAGACGGGACCGGACCGAGCCGGCGTCCATCCAGAAGGTTCCGGCCTATGCGAGCCGCGACCCGTCCCCGCCGACGGATGCCAGGGCCCCGCCACGCGTCGCCCGCACACCATCACCCGCCCGTTCCCTCCTCGCGATCTCCACCCATCCGTCCCATTTATTATTACCTGCGTGGGCCCCACGGCAGGAATGACTCCACCCTCCATCCCTGTCGCGGCCGCTGCTGCCGAACAGCACACGCCCCGTGCACCCCCCGCGCCCACTGTCCGGTAGGCCCCACGCCCGGGCGCCCGGCCCAGGCCCACGCGCGGGCGATCTCGCGGAGCCGTCCGCGGCGAGATGGACGGCCGGGGGCGCGTCACGCGGGGCCACAAAACACGCGGCCCCGAAGCACGGGAAAGGAAAGGGGAGAGGGATCGAGATTCCAGCGGCGACGGCAGGCAGAAAAGGCGTTGCCGAACAGAAGCGTCGCGTTGGGGGGCGAGCGAGCGAGCGAGCGAGCGAGCGAGCCAAGCATCCATGGCGGAGCGCAAGGAGGAGTCGGTGATGGACAAGATCACGGAGAAGTTCCACGGGTCCTCGTCGTCCTCGTCGTCGTCGGACGACGAGGGGAGGTCGGGGTCCTCGTCGTCCGTCAAGGCCAAGATCTACCGCCTCTTCGGCCGCGAGAAGCCCGTCCACTCCGTCCTCGGCGGCGGCAAGCGTGAGTCCCCCCGACCCCCGTCCCGGAACCCTAAACCCTCGTGCTCCTCCCGCGCCTCGCTTCCGCCGCGTGGTTTCGTAGATCCGGCGTCTCGCGCTCCCGCGGGGCTTGCCCGCGTGCCCAACGGCTCGTCTGAGGGAGGAAATCTGCGGTTGCTCTGGTCTCCGTGGAAAATTGATCTCGTGTCCGTCGAGACACGTCTCGCTGATTACTAGTGTGTGTCTGTGTGTGTGTAGGAAGCGTCCCGATCTGCGATTTTCCGGGCCCAGTTTCCGCGGCATTGCCCGTCCGCAGGGTGTGAACGGGGCAGCATGCATCAGATTAATACTATTTGTACCTGCAGCTTCTTGTGTTCCTGGGTTGGGTTGAAGTGATTGTGCGATGCTGCTGCTTTGCAGAGGAAGCAGCCGAAACTAGTGCTGCTTCCTAGTAGTACTAGCTTAAACCCTGGGATGCTTTGTTTGTTTTCTAGGAGTAGATAGATTGCTTGTTGATCTGGGCTTCTGATGTGCTGTGCTTGTGGGTTATTTTTGCAGCTGCCGACCTCTTCCTGTGGAGGAACAAGAAGATCTCTGGCGGGGTGCTCGCGGGCGCCACCGCCATCTGGCTGCTGTTTGAGGTCCTGGAGTACCACCTCCTCACCCTCCTCTGCCACGGCTTCATCCTCAGCCTGGGCATCCTCTTCCTCTGGTCCAACGCCTCTGCCTTCGTCAACAAGTGAGCTTCATCAAATTTCCCTTGTTATTTGCACCCATATCAGTTATAGATGGCTATGCCTAGTTGGAACAATGCTGTGTGATCACAATGATCCTAACAGTTTTAGCAATGGCTCTAGTTTTTGGTTGTAAACAACTGTCTGCAATTATTTTCAGGTGCCCTCCCAACATTCCAGAGGTGAAGATCCCTGAGGACCTGGCTGTCAATGTTGCCCGCTCGCTGCGATACGAGATCAACAGGGGCTTTGCTAGCCTGAGGGCGATTGGTCAAGGCCGTGACCTGAAGAAATTCCTGATTGTACGTTGATTGGTTGCGTGATTTTGTTTCCTTTAGCCTTCACTGCTTAAGCCCTGTCTGTGTGATCAGTCGCTTATTGTGTCGTCTCTTTGTTCTCAGGTGGTCGCAGGCCTGTGGATCCTCTCTTTTCTTGGCAGCTGCTGCAATTTCCTGACCTTGTTCTACATAGGTAAATGCTACAGTCTGTTTGTTACTTACATATGTGCAATAAGCTTGCCTAGCATTGTTTCACTGATCACGCCTTCTTGTTTGCAGTCTTCATGGTGCTTTACACCGTGCCTGTTCTGTATGAGAAGTATGAGGACAAGATCGATGCTTTTGGAGAGAAGGCCATGGTTGAGCTGAAGAAGTACTACGCCATCTTCGATGAGAAGTGCCTGTCCAAGATTCCCAAGGGCCCGTCCAAGGATAAGAAGCAGCACTAGAACGGTAGAGAGTACCCTGCGCAGATTTATCTTCAAAGTTGATCACTACTCGTCGGTTTTCAAGGATGGTTGTGATTCCGTGTCCGTAGCTTCATAGTAGATACCACTATCTGGTTAAAACCCTGGCACGGTCAGTAGTCGTGACGTGCAACTTCTATGAACTTAAAAGTCATGCCAGCTTTTGCTCAATATCCTGTTTCCAATTCTATGGTTAACGTAGCATCCTCACTTGCAAGCTGTGTTGGTGTAATATGGCAGTGATGTTTGCGACTTTAGTAGACTTGCTACAATGAATGAAGTGGCTCTTTTGGTGTTATGTCATTCCTGGGGTTCATATCCACAATGAAGTGGCTCTTTTGGGTGTTATGTCATTCGTGGGGTTTATATCGTTTGTTGGTGTTGATATGCCTATGCATTCGTGAGGCTTCAGTTGATTTGGATGAATGTTTTGTCTATAATGTTTGTGTGCTGAAGCGTCTAGTTAAATTTGTTGGAACACTTGTGACCTGTGTATGTATAAACCACCTTGAATTTCAACGCTTTCTCATGGGTATTGAGCCTGTGATGGAGAAGTACAGCATTAACATCTTGGAAATTACAAGAAATCAAGATGGTATTAACAAAGACTCGCTAAAACATGAGAAATATATAAAATCATTTGGGCATATGAGCACTCCATCGAAGTGAATCCTGGCTTCAAGCATTGCCAATGTGTGTTTCTATTGTTATCTAGACATATTTGGTTCGACCAAGTGTGTGATTTAACCAATGCTGGCGAGTCTTCTTTCAGTGACATGCATTTTGCTTCTTGCGGCAATATATTTGTTTCAACCACTGCTAATATTAGCTTCACTGTTTCTTTCTTACGTTTCCATGTACAGACATTTTCCCCACCCGATTCAGGGGCACGTTTTCATTTCCAACACAATGCTAATAGTGTTGAGTGTGTTGGACCAGACATCACTTGTGACGTGTGCGGAACTCTCCTAGGATTAGTTCCGCACACGAGAATTCCAAAGTCGTCTGGGCACATTGATTTCAGAATCACTATCTGAATCGTTACTGTCAGACGATGAAGATGGTCGATCTTGAGCATTTAATATGTAACAAGCAACCTGGTAGATGAAAGAGTGAAATCAGTCAGACAAATGTACAATGGAATATCAAGTGAAAGTGCAGAGCAAAAGTTACAAAAATAACAATGACTCATGGACTACATCCAAAAGGCTGATCAATCGAGAAATGGATATATTGTGATTAAAAACAGAATTATTGTATGCAAAAACCCATCATACAAAGTATTGACCATAAGATAGAAGCACTTACTGCATAAGGTAACAGGGGCATTAGTTTTATTTCATCTTTTCCTTTCTTAGGACAATGGTGAGGAGCAGCACACGTCAAGTTGCTCAGCCAGAGAACTGAGCGGCATTGCTGGCATATTGCCCTATTTGATGCGGCACTCCAGCTTATGTGCTCTGTATTAATGGTAATTCAGACATGTTTAGAGGGGAACGTTGTAAGTTGCCGAGTGTAATTTACATTGATAATACTAGCATATGGGAGCACTACCTGCATGCTTCTTGTGGAAAACCTCTTTCCAGTTCAAATTGGGATCATCAAATACTGGATCCACATTATTCTGTGCAAGAATACCATGACTATTCTGTACACCACTGGATACAAGCGTGCTGTTGGAGCGCAAATGGGACGTGCTAAAGAAAAGGGAGTAGTTCATTCTCCACAGCTTGTTGTCGTTTGCAGATGAATTCCAAGACCTTCTAGGGAATATGCAAGTGTCAACAAAAGGAACTAGCATATGTTTGGAAATAGTATATGGGTATGAGAGAAGAAGAATAATACCAGCAAACAAGACTAGCAGCCACCAAAGAACGCGTGTCCAGAAAACTAAAGATATGAACAAGCACATCATTTGGTATGTCTGGGGGGTCTGTCAAAGAGGTTCATAATAAATGTCACGATGACTAGTGTATTAATATATATTTATAAGCTCACCCCATAAATATTGACAGGAAGCTGCAAATTAAAGTGTATACTGTTATACCGAGACATGTAAAACTAGGGAGGGCATAAAGTGTATCCTATATACCTAACTTATTTATCTCAACATGCAAGCATAACACCTCACCATACAATTATGAATGGGATAAGGCCCACCTCAATGCAATCATGCATGGGAAAAGACCCACCACAACATTCAACCATGCATGGAAAGTGTTTCCATTTAATTAATCTACTTATATTCAGTAAGTATCATTACAACTATACATAATCAAATATAATAAGTCACATGTATTTTTAATTTTGGTTCTCATGTTATTAACCCAAATTCTCATCAACCAATTCCCGCAGCAACGCACGGGGTATCCTCTAGTATAAATATAACATGACGACAATCATCAGCTTTTATTTAAGCTGGACTTTATCATCCTAGCAGAACATTCAAACATAATAGTCGAGTCGCTTCATAGAACCTAGAATAATAAATGCACACATTTTATAATGAATGCTGAAAAGGCACAGTAGTTCCCCACACTTATCTAATGTGTGTAACTAAGACTTGAGTTTGCTAAGCAGGAAGACATCAATGCATTTGCGCACCAGAGAATACCCTACATACCAGGCTCTTGTTGGACTTTAGCCCGCCTCTTATGCAAAACAACAGAACACTTGAACTCTGAAACAGCTTGTGACTTCTTTTGCTTTGGCAGGGAAGTTTCTACCGCTAGGAGAAGACCATTGGCTGCCGCTAATGCATATTCTGTCTGCACACTATGGGAAAGAAACAATGGATTACTACAGACTATCATGTGTAAATACCATGCAAGCTTTAAGTTAAGTCAAAAACTAAACACGTATTTCAAAAAAAGAATAAAGTTTAATGGGAGACTTCCTACTTGATTCCATGCATATTTTGACAACACAGATGACTGATCTTTATGATACATGAAAAACATATCTGTAAGTATGTAATAAGTCAAGCAGAAACCACTTGATATGATCACAAGCATGACACAGCGAACCTGTAGAAGGATAATACAAGGCAATGGATTCTGAGAGTGACAAGATTATCAACTTAACATGCGTTAAACTATAATGATACCCAAAGAGCTCTGCCACATAATTGGTGGAACAAGACAGGTTAGCTCTAGGGAGGGAGTGTGGGGTCGGAGTAATTGTGCAAAAGCATGCCACGGTCGTTTCTGAACCATTTTTATGGCATCCTGTTATTAAGCCTCCTTCGACCCTTCTCATGATCAAGGTGTGTTTTGTTTTTTCAGCCGATACATAATGATTCTAAGAAAATTTGTGCAGGTCAATAACATATCAACCTAAGTGCGTAGAATCAATATTCAATTTTGCACCAGACAAATTTAAAAGCCAATGCGATGTCATCTAAAATAACAGACCATCAAGTATCAGCCCGACCTTTGTTTTTCATATGATTGTGGATTCATCGGTTACCAAAGCTGCATAAGTATTCGAATGTTGACACTGGCACATAATTACTTGAAATTCCAAGAATCGACGGAATATAGGCACATAAATACTTCTGGAGGCCAACATAATAACAGTACGAATTAAGCAATTTAGCACGCAATGTAACAGAACGGGCACCATGTCCATCAGGGCACATTCTAAAGGGGGCAAATCCGAATTTCAGCACGCAGCAATCCGTCGCGAATCGCAC